ACTTTTTTCTTTGTAGACTTGTTTCCATAGTGGGGCGCACACGCCATTTGGAGGTGAAAGTTTCGTTTCCCGGCACGATTTTTTTTTTAGTATCCAGAAGCCATGAGTTGATAACCCTTAGGCTCGGTATTATGGATATCGCAACCCTTCTGCCTTGATTCCATGATAAATACCGTAAATATGGGAGAAATGTGGCTTTTCTGCCAACCCCCGGACGTGAACCCGGACCACAAGGAGCTCGTCACCCGGTCACCGCGCAATCCGGTTTAGCCAACTACGGTAGCGAGCCGGGTCCCGGCACGATAACTATAGCTTTCGGTTTTAATGTTGTCTAGTGTGTCCTTCTGTCTTTCTACTTCTTTCTATGAGTGCCGATCAATAAACTGTCTCTGTTAATTAAATATGTATATTACTGCTATTATGTTTGTTTGTAGACTGTTGTAGGTGCAGATATTTTTATGTAATCACCATTACGTTTATTTTCACAGAGTTCCAACTAAGAATTTTCTTTTGATAATCTGTTATAGTTATATCCGTCATACAATTAAAGTTTGGTGGTAGTTAGTTCACAATATTTTACTAGGACATTTCAAAGCAGGGTGTGTTCATCCCTGGTAAATGTTTAAAACGCTCACCCGGGGACGTACTTGCACACGCACACTCGCGCAGAAAGATAAACGATAGTTTCCTTGTTTGAGTAATGGCCAGTGTTCGCGTGTGTTTGCAGTGATGACAGAGCCGACAGCTCCAGGTTTATCACCGGCATACGTGATTTTCTGTAGTGTCCACAACGAAGTGTTAGATCTTGTCCGTGTTGCTGGCAGCCGTGTTATCAATGACAGGTAGTTTAGTGCAGGCCACAACAATGAGGCTGTTCATTCACTGGTGATGTGATCTATTGGGGAGGTTGGTGGATTGTTCGGGGGATCGATAACTGCACGTTATACTTGAAAGTATTATTGCCCAGTTGTTATTGTTACATGTTACCATCAAGTTGCAACAGCAGTAGTAGAAATTGTAAATCACATAAAAGAAATATGGTACGCAGGGATCAGATAACAGCACGGCAGAAGAATAAGCACAACCTCTCATAAATGACAAATTTAAGAGTGGAAGAACATGCGAGTATTTATTAACATTATACTCACCCGACACTGGGCGACAGACAGACAGACAGACAGACAGACAGACAGACAGACAGTTAGATTAGATTAGATTAGATTAGATTAGATTAGATTAGACAGACAGACAGACAGACAGACAGACAGACAGACAGACAGACAGACAGACAGACAGACAGACAGACAGACAGACAGACAGACAGACAGACAGGCAGGCAGGCAGGCAGGCAGGCAGGCTGATAGATAGATAGATAGATAGATAGACAGACAGACAGACAGACAGACAGACAGACAGACAGACAGACAGACAGACAGACAGACAGACAGACAGACAGACAGACAGACAGACAGACAGACAGACAGACAGACAGACAGACAGACAGACAGACAGACAGACAGACAGACAGACAGACAGACAGATAGATAGATAGATAGATAGATAGATAGATAGATAGATAGATAGATAGATAGATAGATAGATAGATAGATAGATAGATAGATAGATAGATAGATAGATAGATAGATAGATAGATAGATATAGATAGATAGATAGATTTTGATTCAAGAACCGACATCACAGCACCCGGGGCATTCCCATAAGCGCTCCGTCTCCATCTTCAGCAGCTAGCGAAGAGTTCCGATACTAATGGTACCAGTAGCTTTCTGATTAAATGTCCGTCTCGCCTTTCCCCAACTGCATCAATCTCACCAAACTGTGGTGATCCATCTGCTCCTCCGCATTGTACACGCTCTCCCACAAGGCACTAACCACGTCTGCCCTATCATGTAGCAGTATTCAACCAAGTTGTGCAGAGCCAGCAAGTCTGTCCGCCTGTTCATTTCCCAACACACCGGCGTGATCCGGTGAAAAAATCCAGACAATACCCCACACTCGTGTCCTCCGCAGCGAAGCGTGCCACTCTGCACGAAGCATACCTGTTCTGATCTTCTTCAGCATGCTTTCTGAATCAGTTACAATTACAATGTGTGTGTGTGTGTCGTGTTCTCTAGTCAGCGGAAAGCTGCAGTGACCGCCTCCACCTCCATTCTTAAGCTGGATGTTGTGGTATCATATGCTAGGCTCTGCTGCACCAAACGTTGACCATTAACTTTTGCTAAAAAGCCCCAAGCACTTCTTTTGCCTCTTGACACTGAACCGTCTGTGTAAATGATCAAATCCTCTGAGCGAGCATTATCTTGAATTAATTGCTGAATTTCCACCTCTGTGGCACCTGCTGGCCAGTCTCTGCATTCCCGGCTCAGCGTGATTATGACTCTACACAAGTCTGACTGCTCAGGTGGCACTTTGACCGCCTCCTCTCCTCGCCTAATGTTCTCAAGGATGCAAACCTGTCTGATTGTGTCTTCTGCCTGAGCCATCCATGACCTCCCTCTTATCAGCCGCGGACCCTTAACTATACCCAGAGCTTCATGCAGAAGGTGGTCTGTGTCTGCAGCTACCCTGAGATATGACTTCGCCTGCATCACCTCGTGCCTACCTGCAACCGTCGGCAAACCAAGGATGTATCGCATACACACCACTGGGGTGTCTCTGGTGCAACCCAGAATGACCCGCATAGCCGTGTTCTGTATGCGCTCTAGTTTATCCATCTGACTCTTTGAGACGGTAAGCAGTCCCAGGCCATAATCCACCACTGACAGGATCATGTGCTGATGTTGTGTGAAAAGCATTCTCTGCTCTATGTCAATTGCAGCCATAGTCTTAAGTGCACTAAGTCCTTTTTGGCATCTAGTCACAACACTCTCCACATGGTCCTTAAATGACAGGCTCCTGTCAAATGTAATTCCCAGATACTTTAGTTTGCTCTCTCTGTTTACGTCTCTACCATCTATCGTGAGACTTGGGACATTAGTTTTAACGATTCTCTTGTCCAGAGAACACCACAAAACAGACGCCTTTTCCGGGTGGACGACAGCCTTCATTTCTGTAAACCACTCAGTCACTTTGTCTACTGTCGCTTGTAGCTCCCGGGCTGTTTGCTCCCTCTCTTCCCCCTGCCTACATGCAAGTATATCATCCGCAAAAGTCAGTATCCTTCCAACTCCTGGTGCTTCTAGGCTTGCAATCTTGCTCGTATACAAGTTGAAGAGCACAGGCGAGATGGCGGATCCCTGTGGCAGTCCTGGGGTGAAAGTGCATGGTTCAGATGTCCATGAGCCCAGTCGGAGAGCAACCCGACGTGAATACAGGACAGCTGCAACCCAATTCACCAGCCATGGATTGACCTCCTTCTCCCTCAGTGCAGTCATTAAGATGTCGTATCTCACTCTGTTATAAGAATCCTCGAGATCTAGTCCTACCGCCATAGTTTCCTGTCTGTTCTGGAAACCTTCATAGACGTCAAAAGCAAAAGTGGCCGCATTTGCCCAAGTGTCCTTTCCTGGCCTGTAGGTTCCCAGACCTCTTGGGAGAAGCTTCCCCCTTTCCAAAAATTCTTGTAACTTTACAGCAACTATCTTCTCCAAGACCTTCCCAAATGTGTTTTGTAAGATAATGATTCTAAAGCCACTAAGCTTAGAATGATCTTTAAAAGGTTTTGGTAGTGGGATTAGATAGCTGTGCACCCAGTCTTGCGGTACTGATGCGTCTTAATACTCTGGTTAAAACAGTCGGCCATCTCCGCCAGGTCTATATTGCTCAAAGCTTTCATGTGACCATACCTGACACCATCAGGCCCTGGTGCAGTGTCTTTTGCTTTTTTCAAAATTTGTTTGAAATCTTCCACTTGTATCATGTCTTCATAATGCATATTTTTCAAAGTGCCAGCTAACTCCTTTCTAACTGCATCTCTGATGTCTACATCATTATGATCTGTCTGAGCTATAAACCTATGGAGAAAAGCCTCCCCTTTCTCATTGTCTGTTGTCACACGCACACCATCGTCTCTACAAATTGTTCCGACTGTCATAGGCCGATCTTTTCTTTGCATCTGCCTTTGCAGTTTCCAGAATTTCCCCAATGTTTTATCGCCTCCCATGTCATTCACAAAAGTTTCCCACTTTGCTCTTTTGGCCTCTGCAGCAAAGCGCTTGAAAACCTCCACCTTATCTCTTTTCACTTTCTCCGCCATCTCCACTTCCTCTCGTGAGCTTGAGGGTGTCTGTCGTACTTTCTTTAGCTGCTTCACTGCGGCTCTCTTTGCCTTCCATGCCTGTTCTACTTCTGGAGTCCACCATGGGGGCTGTAGAAAATTAGTTCTGGCAGTTCTTTTGCATGCTCCCTGTCTGAGGCGTCCAAGTAGGTTGTTGGTCCAATTATACTGGAAGGTCTTGCGTGCTCTCCCACCTTAACCTTACTGTGTTTAGAAATCAAGACTGAACATGGTAGGTGATCACTCCCATGGTCATTCAGGACAGTCCATTTAACATCTAAAACCTACGACTGAGAAACAAATGTCAAGTCAATGGCTGTGTCTGCATCTCCAGACCTCATTGCCATTCTAGTTTGCCTCCCATCATTGATGCAGACCATATCGGAGTCAGCAGTTGAAGTTGATGGAAAAAAAAAGGGGGGGGGGGGAATGGCCGAGAAATGTGAGTCAGAGGCGTCGGAATCTTTGGGGTGGGGGGGGGGGGGGGGGGTGTAGAGGCAGGCTTCAGACACTTTGATTGACCTCCTAGACCCTGATAATTGTTAAGGACTGAGCCTCCCAAACTAGAAAATTAGAAACGGATCTAAGTATTCTAACCATGCAGAGATTTTTAATGCATTTGTTTGGACAAGACATATTTCCAACATAGTATTGTATTTATTTACCATTCAGAACCCAATAATGATAATAATATCATATAATAAAACTGTTTTGTTATTACTGTGCAAGTAAACAAGGCTTAAACTCCTAGCTCCTCTCCCGCCTACTAGAAAATTATATGGGCGCTGAGCCCAGATGGTTTGTTTGGGTTGTTGGTGTAGGTTGTTGGTGTAGGTTGTTGGTGTAGGTTGTTGGTGTAGGTTATTGGTGTAAGCTGTTGGCGTAGGCTGTTGGTGTAGATTGTTGGTGTAGGTTGTTGGTGTAGGTTATTGGCGTAGGTTGTTGGTGTAGATTGTTGGTGTAGACTGTTGGTGTAGGTTGTTGGTGTAGGTTGTTGGTGTAAGCTGTTGGTGTAGGTTATTGGTGTAAGCTGTTGGCGTAGGCTGTTGGTGTAGATTGTTGGTGTAGGTTGTTGGTGTAGGTTATTGGCGTAGGTTGTTGGTGTACGTTGTTGGTGTAGGTTATTGGTGTAGGTTGTTGGTGTAGGTTGTTGGTGTAGGTTGTTGGTGTAGGTTATTGGTGTAGATTGTTGGTGTAGGTTATTGATGTAGGTTGTTGGTGTAGGTTGTTGGTGTAGGTTATTGGTGTAAGCTGTTGGTGTAGGCTGTTGGTGTAGGTTATTGGCGTAGGTTGTTGGTGTAGGTTATTGGCGTAGGTTGTTGGTGTAGGTTATTGGCGTAGGTTGTTGGTGTAGGTTATTGGCGTAGGTTGTTGGTGTAGGTTATTGGCGTAGGTTGTTGGTGTAGGTTATTGGCGTAGGTTGTTGGTGTAGGTTATTGGCGTAGGTTGTTGGTGTAGGCTGTTGGTGTAGGTTGTTTGTGTAGGTTATTGGTGTAGGTTATTGGTGTAGGTTATTGGTGTAGGTTGTTGGTGTCAGTTTTTGGTGTAGGTTATTGGTGTAGGTTGTTGGTGTAGGTTATTGGTGTAAGCTGTTGGTGTAGGCTGTTGGTGTAGGTTATTGGCTTAGGTTGTTGGTGTAGGCTGTTGGTGTAGGTTGTTTGTGTAGGTTATTGGTGTAGGTTATTGGTGTAGGTTAATGTTGTAGGTTGTTGGTGTAGGTTGTTGGTGTAGGTTGTTGGTGTAGGTTGTTGGTGTAGGTTATTGGTGTAAGCTGTTGGCGTAGGCTGTTGGTGTAGATTGTTGGTGTAGGTTGTTGGTGTAGGTTATTGGCGTAGGTTGTTGGTGTACGTTGTTGGTGTAGGTTATTGGTGTAGGTTGTTGGTGTAGATTGTTGGTGTAGACTGTAGGTGTAGGTTGTTGGTGTAGGTTGTTGGTGTAAGCTGTTGGTGTAGGTTATTGGTGTAAGCTGTTGGCGTAGGCTGTTGGTGTAGATTGTTGGTGTAGGTTGTTGGTGTAGGTTATTGGCGTAGGTTGTTGGTGTACGTTGTTGGTGTAGGTTATTGGTGTAGGTTGTTGGTGTAGGTTGTTGGTGTAGGTTATTGGTGTAGGTTGTTGGTGTAGGTTATTGATGTAGGTTGTTGGTGTAGGTTGTTGGTGTAGGTTATTGGTGTAAGCTGTTGGTGTAGGCTGTTGGTGTAGGTTATTGGCGTAGGTTGTTGGTGTAGGTTATTGGCGTAGGTTGTTGGTGTAGGTTATTGGCGTAGGTTGTTGGTGTAGGTTATTGGCGTAGGTTGTTGGTGTAGGTTATTGGCGTAGGTTGTTGGTGTAGGTTATTGGCGTAGGTTGTTGGTGTAGGTTATTGGCGTAGGTTGTTGGTGTAGGCTGTTGGTGTAGGTTGTTTGTGTAGGTTATTGGTGTAGGTTATTGGTGTAGGTTATTGGTGTAGGTTGTTGGTGTCAGTTTTTGGTGTAGGTTATTGGTGTAGGTTGTTGGTGTAGGTTATTGGTGTAAGCTGTTGGTGTAGGCTGTTGGTGTAGGTTATTGGCTTAGGTTGTTGGTGTAGGCTGTTGGTGTAGGTTGTTTGTGTAGGTTATTGGTGTAGGTTATTGGTGTAGGTTATTGGTGTAGGTTAATGTTGTAGGTTGTTGGTGTAGGTTGTTGGTGTAGGTTGTTGGTATAGGCTGTTGGTGTAGGTTGTTGGTGTAGGTTATTGGCTTAGGTTGTTGGTGTAGGCTGTTGGTGTAGGTTGTTCGTGTAGGTTGTTGGTGTAGGTTATTGGTGTAGGTTGTTGGTGTAGGTTGTTGGTGTAGGTTGTTGGTGTAGGTTGTTGGTATAGGCTGTTGGTGTAGGTTGTTGGTGTGGGTTTGCTACCAGAACGCGGCAGTAATCAACAAAAGTCGGCTAAACTTTGTGAATTTATTAGAGAAGGCATGCAAATATTTAAAAGTTAAAATTAATGTAGTCTTTCCTCGCCACTGTCGAAAAAAGTTTATTGTTTTGTTTCACACTAAGACGTTTTTCGTACGGTATAAAAAGCCAGTTCGCAACGTACTAATAATTGTCCTCGTATTTATCTGAAGGTGCGACCGATTCTCTCTGCCTGCATTCGTTAAGGTGCAGTCGATAAGTAAATCACATTGTCTCAGCAAACACCCGCGAGCCTAAGCCATCCAAGCTGGCCTGCCTCAGTTCGCGGAAAGACAACTCATGACCAAAAGAAAATCCGATAAAAACTTAGTAAATATGATCCTAGCTACCTCACTTTATTTGGCTGTGTTTCGGTTTGAAACGAACAGGCCCCGGGAGGGCAATGCGTTAACTGCCATAGAAGTGTTGTGAAAGGCTGCTTGGTTCCGTCCAAATTAAAGAGTTATCTGGAATGCAATCATCCTGATTTAGTACACAGGATAAGAAATCTTCAAACGCCGCGCTTTATCTACTAAGGCAGGGTCATCCATATTGGAGAGAATTTCTAAAAATGAAAAGGATATAATGCAAAATTAATCCAAACAGTTTCGTTCATCGCATTAAAGATAACTGAACGTTAAATGTGTATTCTTTTTTTTTTCCTAAGAATATACCCGCTTTATGTGTAGGTGTGCCGCAATTTTTTTTTTTTTTTTTAGCCGGACAAGGGTGCCGCGGCCACAAAAGTTTGAGAACCCCTGTGTACACACTGGTCGTTAAATCCTCATCATTGTCAGCTGCGACTTTAGCCCTTGAGCAACTTGGGGAGGAACATTTTGCGATCTATTACTTGATGGGTAGCAATAGATAGTCATTCCGTATCGATGTAAAAGGTCTTTAGCTTCGTTCTGGCGCCAGTGGAAATAATACAATATGTACTTCCTTGTCCCATTTCATACTAGAAAAAAAAAACTTGTCAGTTCCAGAAAAATCTTGAAGCTTGCACCCGCAAAGTTTAAAAAAAAGGCATCTTCCAGATGTGCTAACACTAACGGCCCCGCACCAGAACTGCGACCCGCTGTTGGCGTAAACGATCAGTCACGGAAGCAGACGATACACCCGCATTGTGCACACAGTTCTTCTGAACGTAATCGGCCACCCGCCATTTTTGTGTAGTAAAGAACACGTCGCGGACAAAACAAACATTCTCATGAAATTCACAGTGTTGCACTAAGCACTCTGATCTGAGTTTGGGCGACAGAATCTTTGTACTCCCGGCTCAGAAATGGGAAATTTGCATCACCAGAACCGAGCCGGAAACAACTTTTCTGAGTGTCAGCTGTCAGCCAGATATCGACCATCAAGAGCATACCCGTAGGAACCCCTAGTATATTTAACATCTTTTAACGTTACACGCATCATGGGATATCCTGCTATGGCATTATCTTCACATTTTCAAATCATTAACTCTTTTCATCTCCACAGCGTCAAATTCTCCCTGGGCAACATGGTGGGCTTACCAAGGCTTGGCTGGTAAGTGTCGTCTCTCTGCCGTACAGTTTTCAATGCATCGCACGCATACAAAATGTCACATACATTTAACAATGTACCAGCAAGATTTTGCCTTCCCTTACTTCATGCTGGTTTTCTAACTTCCCCCTCTCCCTCCCTCCCCCCCCCCCGGGCCACTTGTTTACTGTGAAAGACTTACTGTTTGTTGTTTTGATACATGATACATTTTCTTTAGCATTCTGGTAGCATACACGTTGTTTATAAGTCGCCCTTCCAGTCCCATTTTGTCAAATACTATTTTCAGCCCTACATGATGACCACAGCTGAAAAACAGTGGCAAAGGAAATTGCCGTCTCCACCGCTGACTTTGACGCAAATGTTGTGTAAGGACAGCGTTGCCAAATCAGTTAGTTAAAGCTTTCACTGGCTTTCTGTGATCCTATTTTAGCACATCGTTAAAGGAGATCGGGACCTGTCAACCTTGATACAGTTGGGTAGATGATAGCACCGCCCTGTGAAGTTAATGTTGGCCGATGTTTTTGATGCTAACCTATCCTAACGGCTCTCTGGTAATAAGTAAAGGACCCTTTTCCACGCCTTTGGGCGTATAGGGCATATAGGGCTAGACCTTTATTTTATAGACCAGTCGGCACAAGATGGGTGATGTGGTCAGCAGCACGCCGGCCGCCTTCACTTCTCGGGACTGCACCCGGTACCCACTCAAGACTGGGTCGACCTGGGAGCCAAGGTCATTTTGGAAAAAAATCCGGCTCCACCAGGGAGCCAACCCACGACCTCCTGATCCACGGCGAGCGTCTAGCCGCTCTGCCACGGCGACTTCCCTCTCTGGTAATGACACCAAGAAATGTTACCTTCTGGACAGAGCCTGTGCTTAGATGGCTTGTCAGTGTTCACCATGTGGACAAAATCCATCTAACACTACTTGCTTCATTTTCTTCACATCAGGTTGAAAATAGGAGAATATGTACAGACATTTACTTCTGATTTTGAAGTCTTGCGGCTGCCTATATATGAAGTAATTTATATAGTATAGGTTAGTTGCCTATCCTTCACAGGACGTTACAGAACCAACCCCAACAGCCCCTGGCTGTTGTGTAGTTTTTCTAGGCATATTTACGTCCAGTAGTTTGCCATTGCTTTCTGGAATGTATATTATATAGTATAACTGTCCGAAATACATCGATGAAATTATTACTCCGTTGATACTTTACAGGTCCGCAACACTGGGGCTATTTAAATCCCGACTGGGTGCTTTGCAGATCAGGGAAATTTCAGTCACCGATCAACATAGAGCCAAGGTTGTTACTGTTTGATCCTAAACTGAGACGGATGAGTGTGGATGTTCCCGAGCTGGTAAAGATATATTTCATTGTCAGATTCCTTATTCGATTTGCCATTACTGCCTGTACTTAGCACTTTTGCGGTTTAGGTGGAGGCTTTTTTGAACACACAAAAACCTCCTAACATCCTTGCCGAGGATTCGAATCTGGGTCTCCCGCAAGAGAGGCCTAGGTTATTGGCCGTTCGGTCAGCCGCTTCTCCCTTATTCCATTGCTGAGCTAAAAGACAGGTGATAAAAGATGTATGATTGCTATACAATGAATTGTTTTATGCTCACTGATTAGCCAAACTGCTAATTACGGCCTTTATTTTACCACTTTTGCGGTGTAGGCTGGGGAAAAAAAAAAGGGGGGGGGGGGGGGTCTTTGAGCCTGAGGATTGCCGACCGCATGGTTAGGGCTGTCGCCACGACTATGCTGGTGAGGATTTTAATTTTTTAGGCTGAGTGTCCTCTTGTCGTAACGCCAGACAACAGACAGTAACAGGGCAGACGACGCAGATTTAAACAGAGATTAAAATCTACTGCAAATCGAGCCTTGTGTTCCAGTCTTTCGTCGATTACTGATACAGGTTGTCACTGTTGCTAAATCCTATGATAACTATAGTCCCAGCCCTCTGCAATGCTACTTTTATATAAGGGTGAGTCATTGAATCTTGAAAGATCACATCAGACATAAGAAGCAGAAACGTATTTAAAAAAAAAACCATAGGGTATAAGGAAAAATAGCCTAGAGAAAGATCACACTGGGTATAGGAAACAGTAACTTATTGAAAGATCACACATGATATAAAAACAGTGGTCTATTGAAAGATCGCATGCAATATAAGAAACAATAGCTTATCGAAATATCACACAAATTATAAGAAACAGTAGCTTATTGAAAGATCACATGGGATATAAGAAACAGTAGCTTATTGAAAGTTCACATGGGATATAAGAAACAGTAGCTTATTGAAAGATCACATGGGATATAAGAAACAGTAACATATGAAAGATCACATGAGATATAAGAAACAGTAGCTTATTGAAAGATCACATGGGACATAAGAAACAGTAGCTTATTGAAAGATCACATGGGATATAAGAAACAGTAACATATGAAAGATCACATGGGATATAGGAAACAGTAGCTTATTGAAAGATCAGATGGGATATAAGAAACAGTAGTTTATTGAAAGATCACATGGGATATAAGAAACAGTAACACATAAAAGATCACATGGGATATAAGAAACAGTAGCTTATTGAAAGATCACATGGGATATAAGAAACAGTAACATATGAAAGATCACATGGGATATAAGAAACAGTAGCTTATTGAAAGATCACATGGGATATAAGAAACAGTAGCTTATTGAAAGATCACATGGGATATAAGAAACAGTAACATATGAAAGATCACATGGGATATAAGAAACAGTAGCTTATTGAAAGATCACATGGGATATACGAAACAGTAGCTTATTGAAAGATCACATGGGATATAAGAAACAATAGCTCATCGAAATATCACACAAATTATGAGAAACAGTAGCTTATTGAAAGATCACATGGGATATAAGAAACAGTAGCTTATCGAAAGTTCACAGGGGATATAAGAAACGGTAATTGGCTGCCTGTTTTCCTGCAGGTCAGTGGGGTATTGAAGAACACAGGAAATGACATCATGCTGTCTCTGGATGACGTCATGTCGAACGGTGCCAACTTTAGCGACGGTCCTTTCATGTACACATATAGACTGGCCCAGGTCAAGGTTCACATCGGCAAAACCAACGGCAGAGGATCGGAGCATCGGATTGATGAAAAGTCGTTTGCAGCTGAGGTTAGAATGTTTGCCATTCTTTTCATTTCTCTTTTCCTTCTCTCTCTCTCTCTCTCTCTCTCTCTCTCTCTCTCTCTCTCTCTCTCTCTCTCTCTCTCTCTCCCTCTCTCTCTCTCTCTCACCCACACACCCACCTACACACACACACCAACACACACACACCCACACTCACACACACACTCTGAGGCTGGCGCGCATGCACACACAGAGACAGTAAACATGTGCCCTTTATATATTTGCACATCAGATTTTAAATCTGTTTGCCTTCTCGTACATGTACATTATCGGCTGTTTTTCTCATGTGTATCTGTATTTTATGTATTGAACGTGCCTGTCGTGAGGTGCGACCTTTCTGTCTATCCGGATGTCTTGATTCTCGTAGAGATGAGACCATTCTGTCTATCCGGATGTCTGGATTCTCGTAGAGGCCCGACCTTTCTGTCTATCCTGATGTCTGGATTCTCGTAGAGGTAACATGCCACAACAATTCTTATCGCCGATCATTTGGATCTCAAAGCGTGAGCTGGACGGTCCGGTTATATGGTATTTACGTACACCGGAGCTTAGCTATCAACACAACCCGATCACATAATAACAAATGACGACTGGACCCGCCTAAGACTCCACACAAACTCTCACACACATATCCATTACATGACTAACCCGTTCATATTACAGGAAGACAACTATAAGACCACTGTGGTCACACGCGAAAAATTTTCACATTTCGAAACTATTCACATTCAAAAACTGTTTTCAGTACTTTTTGGCAAAATTAAAATACTCAAAATTTTAAAACAATAAATGGTGGCCGAAAGGTCGTTGTGTTTGGAAGCTCGCTCTCCTTCGAGATACGCCTAGCCAGATCAAAGGGAGACAGAACAAACAGGAAACACCAAGAATGAAGAAGGAAGACATGCACCAGTGACAACAGGACGAGCGGTTTGATTCGGATGGAAGCATTAAGCCAGAAATGGCACAAACACCAGTATTCAGTCACGAAAGTGACGCAAATAACCCAGACCACAAATTTAGGCGGAGACTGTTAGCAGCCTAGGCTAGCTAGCAGCAGTCTGAACGTGGTCGAGCTTTTCTTTTTTTTTTTTTCTCAAAAGGACTTGGACTTGGACTCGTAGAGGTGCGACCTTTCTTTCTCTCCTGATGTCTCGATTCTCGTAGAGACCCGACCTTTCTGTCTATCCTGATGTCTGGATTCTCGTAGAGAAGCGACCTTTCTGTCTCTTCTGATGTCTGAATTCTCGTAGAGATACGACCTTTCTGTCTATCCTGATGTCTGGATTCTCGTAGAGAAGCGACCTTTCTTTCTCTCCTGATGTCTCGATTCTCGTAGAGGCTCGACCTTTCTGTCTATCCTGATGTGTTGATTCTCATAGAGACTCCTGCCCTACCGTAGGCTCGACAAGCATTAAGATTAATGAAGATTTTATTCCTCATTAATAAAAAATATATAATGGAGTAAATCTCCGTGACATTAAACAGATTTGGGGGGGGGGGGACATGGGGTGAGGTGCATGCAGTAGTGAAGAATAGAACGACCTGACGTGAGTTGGCGGAGAGTCTATACTCTATTACGGTGTAAAGGGCAACAACAACAACAACAACAACAACAACAAGTCATCTCCATGAGTTGTGGCAGTAAGAAGATAGCCCCCAACATCACTTTTGGATTCTTGGAAGACTGGATGGAACTTTAACAGTGTTTTCATTTTTTCTAGCCACCCTCACAACATAATGCCATTAGGACACACATTAATCCTAATAACGACATACCAGTTTATCAGTTTTGAATAGTTCTACAATCGACTGGTGCGCTGGAAGCTTTACATGTGTAACAAGAGACTCAGAACATTCATAATCCAATTCTGGATGAGAAAGCATCATCAGTAATAAAGGCTATCTTTGAAAGGAAGAGAAAGTTAACATGCCTAGGGTAAAACTGTATCCATTTAGGGAAAGAAAAGGTTTCAAAGGTTTAAAGGTGACTGTCATCCTCAGATTCAGCTAATCTGCTACAACAGTGACCTGTTTAAATCCCTCCAAGAAGCCGAGCGGATGCCCTATGGTGCGGCCATTATTGCTGTGTTTGGTGAGGTACGTAGATGGGTTTCCTGTCGTATGGGTACTGACATCTAATTGGATGGTCGCCTTTTTCTTTTAATTTCCGTATCAGTGTCTCATTTTTAACAATTTCTCAATACAAATTGAATCCATCATGTGTATATAAATATCTCACTTTTTTAGTTTCTGTTCACATATTGTATTTTCATCTGTGTATGCATACTTCCATTTAGACCATTGAACATATATACCATTTTTTATTTTATGTGCAAACATATAATTTTTTTTTTCATTTGTATCAAATATATAAAATTCCCCTCTGTGCAACTGTTCATTGTTTTTAAAATTACCGCAAACATAATTCTAGGAAACAAAAGCGACACAAAGAACGTCTAGTTCACCAGAAGTCATTTGAAGTGGCCTACATTTCAACCCCGCAATTCGCTCGTCTGCGTGGAATGACTTGGTAAGGGTTGGGATTTAGTTGGCGCTGTCGATTCTGAATCCCGATTACTTGGGTTAGATTTTGTGAGATTAAAGCCTCGGAGCCTAAAAGCATCTCCATTGATTTTATACCCCAAATTAAGTGAATCTTCTTATATCTTGTTCCTGATTCGGCTGAATATTAGGTTTTGGTTTAAACGGATGAACATCATGACACAAAGGTAGTAACGCTTAGGTGCTCCGTTCTACTTCTAACTCCAGCCTGAGTCAGAAGAATCTCAGCGCAGTGTACGAACTCCGTAGCCCCGGCGAGGATCCTAAAATACTTTAGGTAGATTAATGATTCGGCTGAATATATGACTGAGTCAGGCAATCAATACACTGTCCTCGATTCGGCTGAATATATGACTGGGTTAATCAACACCTTGGTCTTTATTAAGCTTAACATGTGACTGAATTTAGTCAGTCAACACCTTGGTCTTCATTTAGTTGAATATATGAATGAGTCAGTCAGTCAACACCTTGGTCTTCATTCAGCTGAATATAGGAATGAGTCAGTCAGTCAACACCTTGGTCTTCAATTAGCTGAATATATGAATGAGTCAGCCAGTCAACACCTTGGTCTTCATTCAGCTGAATATATGAATGAGTCAGTCAGTCAACACCTTGGTCTTCATTTAGCTGAATATATGAATGAGTCAGTCAGTCAACACCTTGGTCTTCATTTAGCTGAATATATGAATGAGTCAGTCAGTCAACACCTTGGTCTTCATTCAGCTGAATATATGAATGAGTCAGTCAGTCAACACCTTGGTCTTCATTTAGCTGAATATATGAATGAGTCAGTCAGTCAACACCTTGGTCTTCATTCAGCTGAATATATGAATGAGTCAGCCAGTCAACACCTTGGTCTTCATTCAGCTGAATATATGAATGAGTCAGTCAGTCAACACCTTGGTCTTCATTTAGCTGAATATATGAATGAGTCAGTCAGTCAACACCTTCGTCTTCATTTAGCTGAATATATGAATGAGTCAGTCAGTCAACACCTTGGTCTTCATTTAGCTGAAAATGTGACTTAAGTCAGGCAATCAGTAGGTAGCTGTACCCCACCAGGACAAGACACAAGCGATGAACACCCGGTGACGCAAAGTGCCACCATGCGGATGAGGATCACCCGTGGAGAGGACCCAGAAACCCTTTCAGCCGTTAGGTTATATCTATGCTAGGCCAATCTATGCCCCGGCTATATTCAGGGCCCTCCGGCAAAAGCCAGGACGGGGCTTCAAACAACTAAAAATTGCACCCCACATGGGGACGACTTATATTATAAATCAGGCAATCATTACCTTGTTCGTGTTCCGGTTGAATGTTTGAATGAATCAGTGGGTCATTGTAATGAGAAACCTGTAATGAAGAAAATTGTGCGTTCTTCTTTTTCTTCACTTCCTCTTTTACCGCTGTTGGTGTCGAGGGAGATATAAGGTTCTGTTTCTAGCTCTTCTGGCCGCCTCGACCATAGGCACATCGTGCGTTACTTAACTAAATGGTACAAACACTGTCAAACACTGAAAGAAATATCATGATTAGATATCAAACTAAAAGAAAATAGAACCAGTCAGTATGACAACATCACTAACACAACAAGCGAACGTTGCGGCTAGGAAACCTTCATCAGCAACATAAATACATCTACAAAGAACAAAAATACACAAAGTCACTTAACTGGCGTATCTCATATAGAAGTGGCATTTCTATCTGGCCAGTAGAATGTATAGACTCGTGTTTGTCGGGTAGGATTAAATACTGACAGAAACATAAAATTCTACGAGCAACAAGGGCAGTAACTCTAAGATTGAAATAACTAAAATGACGAACCGCCACATTTCCTAGACAACGAGACAAAGCAAATTATGCTAACCTAGTAATCTGTTATTTCCCGATCTATTATCGTCCACGTCACTCAATGTCTCATGTAGCCCCCGTGATGTGGCGGATAGACTGTGTATTCAACGGTCGTAGGTTCAAATCAGAACGGAGCCTGATATTTTTCATATCTGACCTTGACTCCCAGGTCGACTCAGCCTTTGTAGTCATTCTTTAAGTGGGTTGCAGGTACAGCGAGTGCCGATTGGTCTATAAAATATATGGAATTATTCATAGTCATACATTGGGATGATATGTTGACGCCGGTAGCGCTGGCTTTCAAGCTACACCGTTCGATTCACAAGTGCGGACATGTTACCAGAGTTCCTGGGATTCAACACATGAGCTAAGGAGCTCGTGTTTATGCGACGCTCTGACAGGCGGGCGACCACTCCACGGGCTGAGATCTAGCCAGACTGGAAAAAAAAAAAATAATACTGTTTGCACTGAAGTTGATGCTCTCACATTTAATCACTTTTAAACTTAGTATAATAAAAATTCAGAACGGAGATGAATTTGGAAGCACCAGAGATGTGGTTTCTGAGACGAATGTTACGAATAGCTTGGATGGCCAGATAAACTAACAACGATTGCTTAAAAGAGGCTAATGAAAGTATATATATATATATATATATATATATATATATATATATATATATATATATATATATATATATATATATATATATATATATATACAACAATAAGAAAGAAACAAACACTGTTCTTTAGCCACATAATGAGAAGAGAACATTGGAGAACATCGTGACAGCTGGAAAGACCAGTGGGAAAAGGGGGTAGAAGCAGACCAAGAGAGATGATGCTGGATGGGCTGAAACGATGGCATGGAGGAATATCATCAAGAGAGCTGTTCCAGGCAACCAGGGATCGTGATCTGTGGTGATGCATGAGCGCCTACACCAATTGGCAGGACACGTGATGATGGTGATAATAAAATGACAACAGTGTCAGACATTCATTCATTCATGATCCTGATGTGTCCTCATATGTCACACAGGGCTCGCAGTCTTTTCCTCCATTCTAATCTATCCTGTGTAATCTGTTCAATATCAGGATGGAATCCAGCCAAGCATCCTTGCTCTCTCTGATTAAGGTAGTGGTGGAACTCTCCTGCGGAAACTGGGAAAAGCAAAAATATACTTGATCCGGCAAGATCAAGAAATGAACTAGACAGGAAAAGTGTAAATGTATTGTCTTCAGTGATTCAAAGCCCGCTCACAGGCAGCTTTAGAAATGAAATGAAGACGAATAAGAGACGGAGAAAAGCTCCAATATGGAGAATGAGGATAAATAATTAAGAACACATAATTGGTTTATAGATCAAATAGAATATATACATTGTAGGCGTCTGTGGCTTAGGCGTTTCGAACGCGCAATGCCGGGGTGCCGGGTTCGATTCCAGCTGCGGGCCTTGCGTTGGTTTCAACAGTGGTATCGAGAAGCCGACCGTCCAGTACAATGGAAAACTACCAGACATAAATTTGTCTAGAAAAACCTCATCTAAAAAATGCTGCGGTTGGTTCTGCAACGTCCTGTAGAGGATACGCCGCAAACAACACAAATACAGTTAACTGCTGCTAATATGTATTTGTAAAACACGCATTTATAGAATAATAAACATTAATGTTAGGCTTATGCTGCGAAAAATGCAAGCAATAAACTGAAATATTTTGTCCGTGTTATCCTTTTTTCGTATAAATAGTTTTAATAATAATAATAATAATAAAGTGTTCCCAACACACAAAATGAAGCTATGCAACTTATTTTGGGATGTACACAGAACACGCCAATAGTATACGTATTTGCATTGCCGTCCATTTATGAAAGAAACAAGGTATTACAGGCAAAAATGCACCTCAAAGTTGCAACGGACAGGGAACATTTTCTGGATGAGGCCTTGGTAGATAGCAATGAATATCGGCTGAAAAGGGAATAATGATGATGTAAAGAATAGTGTTATTGTATACATGCAACAAATAATATATAGCCCTTGCCTGCGAAGATATTCGTGCAATCCCCAGACGGGACCGAATGACAATGTCTTTTATTCTGACCAGTACGACACTGCTCTTGACACAGCTTTATATAAATGGGTAATGATGTTTATAAATTTCTGGGATTAGCCAGCTAAGAAAAGGCACAGAGGAAGGGAACTGGTCAACACACCTTATATATCGTTATCTAGAATTTGGGAATGTGTAACACTTCGATTAGGGAGCTTACATGGGGAGTAAAAGTAAGAACGGACACCACCAATGGGCAATCGGACAGCCCGATTTGAGAAGTTGAACTTCTTCTTTGTTTACTGGCTGTAAGCTCTAACTGAAAGTCCTAGTTGTTCGTCCATTTGGACTTTCGCTTTGTGCTAGGACCTGACTTTTGCGTGTGCATCCGTCTTACTGGCTTATTTGCCGCTCGGGCAGATGCACTCCGACTTCGAAGTAACTCCCCAAATAGTCGACTTCTACGACATGTTTATTCGGGAGGCAGTGGGGCAGTTCTTGTTTTTCCCGCAAGGAGTCCAGAAACCCACACGGGAAGAGAAATTACACAAAGATGTACATCTTCTTCTTCGTCTGGTTCCCTGGCTGTAAAGTCTTGAGGAAGGAAAGTTATGTTTATTCGTCCACTTCTGGGCTTGC